CCTCAATACACCCTTGTGCCCAGATCAAGTCTCCTCTCTTGTAGCGGTGCTGCTGCCTCTCTGAGTCCCAGGAGGTCATCATCACCTCTAGGCCTGGCCAGGGCTGCAGACGGGAATTGGGAGCCCTTGCGTGGTAAGAGAGAGCAGAAGCCAAAGCCATCTCTTTTCCTCTCCTCCCATCTTCTCTTTCCTTCTATTGTTAACTCTGTCCTCTTCCTCCTCTCTCCCTCTTCCCCTCATTTCTTTCCCCTTCTCTCCTTCATTGTCCCTTCTGCTTCCCCTCTTTCTCCCTCCATTCTTCCCAGCGTGCTGCATCCCTCCTTTCTCTCCCTCTTTAACCAAGGCCAAGACTGAACGATCTCGCCTTCTGAGCACACATTCAGCCCCACCCCAGATGCCGCTCCATAATGCAGGCAGAACATCCACGGGTCCCATTTCCTTCTGCAGGGAAAGTGGAGAATGGGAGTCTTGACCTGAAAGCCGGCAGGAGCTGGGGCACAGTGCCAGTGGGCTGAGCCTGTCAGGCCTCCCAAATAACAGTGGAAGATCTAGTTGGCATCTCACAGCATGGGACACCCAAGTGCCTGCTCAGGCCTTTTTCAAGCTGTACTGCTTGGGAGAGGAGGTGCCTCTTGCTCCGATGGTACCTCCTGGCAGCCAGTCTGCACAGCCACACCACTGGCATCCTCTGCAAAAGCAGGAGACCTCTCAGGGTGGGCACTGAGGAGCTGGTGGCTCTGTGCTGGGACAGGTTACGCAGTGGGGGCACCACTCAAGAATTAATGTCCAGGCTGGATTTCTATCTGGAGGTTCCCTTTGCCTCATTGTTGTTCATGGTCACTTGTAGGTCCAGGTCTGATTTTCAATCCCTCTCTTGCCTCCATGAGGTAAGGAGGGTCAGATCTGGCCCGTGATTCTCAACCAGGATGCCGAGGCATCGTGGTGTGCTGAGAGATTCTTCTAAGAGTGCCACAGGGTGCTGTACCATATGAGAGCTGGCATTTTCCAAGGTGGGCCTCAAGTCTAAACAAGGTAGAAGGCAGGGCAGGGTGGCACTTTACAGGCTAACTTGTTCATAGGGTCATAGCATCTGATGAATTAGGCTGTAGCCTACAAAAGCTCATGCCTCTCTGAATAAGTTTGTCTCAGAGCTCTGACCATACAAAGTGCTATTGAAATGCTGCCTGGTATTGCTATAGTGCCATTTGCTTAAACATTTGTTGCTCTTTGCAGGGCTGGTTCTCTCTAGCCAGCATAAAGCAGGCGTAAAACACTCCCACTGTGACCTAGAAGTACCTTGCACTAGTGTAGATGACACAAGGTGCAGAGTAATAAAGAACCAGGTCTGATGTTTCTAGCTAATGTTGCCTCCCTGCTGTCGTGCTGTGACTATGGTTGATTTCTTGCGTGTTGCTTTCTCAATGAAAATGATGGTGTTTTGGCCAAAATGGCATTTCTGTGAGGAATGTTTTCTCATTTGATGAAGTTTTGCATCTCGAACCCCATAAGCTGTTGAAGAAAAAAGCTGATGGCAATGCAAAGCTTTCCCTTGCCATTGAAATTTGTCGTGGGAACAAAGCAGCGCTTCCCTGATGAACCTGGGAATTACTTCCAGCCAGGGGTGTTGGGTGACCTATTACAGCAAGGGACAGCTCCTCTCTAAAACCCTGAAGTGGCTGGTCTGACAGTCTCCACTGCAGAAATGTCACAGCAGCCAGAGCCAAAAGGAGACGTGACTTTTATTTAGTTTGGGGATCATGCCAGTGCCTGGAAGCCCTGCTGATCAGTGAGGACCACCCTAGGCTCAGTAGCATGGACACACAGAACAGAGGGCTCTCATATAGCAGTGATTCTCCCCAAAAGCATCAGATGCTCCAGGCACCTGCTCTGCCCTGCAAACCAAACACTTTGCATCAGCAAGGTCAGTTCCTTGAAGGAAACAACCTTGCACATGCTGAAGTCAAGAATAGTTTTGCCAGGGACTTGAAGGCAGCTGGTCATAATTACAGGCTTCTTGCTCTCATTGGTATGCAAGCTGGAGCCTCACTGGCAATGATGGAGGAAGCTTCAGGAATTTCAGGCTTGCCTGGGGAAGAAGGGATCCACCTTCAATTGGCTGCCTTCCTCATGGCCCTGCTCCTGGGGAAGAGCAGTCAATTGGAGGGGCTGCCAGGGGCAGGTGGAGTTCTCCTCCAACACCATCTCACAGGAAGGGAAAGAGCAGAAAGAGCCCAGGAGCTCAGGGCAGCTCTGCCACGTCCTCCTCCTTCCCCTCCAGACAGCCCCTCTGCTATTTATTCCTCCCCTGCAACACCGGGAAGATGCGTGGAGGCTGGGGGACAGGACTGATTCAGGGGCTGGAGGGCCTGGCAAATGGGGGTTGAGAATTCCTGCAGTAGTGGCCAGAATCCTCTTACTAGATCCAAGGGCCAACCAGTCATCATAACACGCCCCACACCAAGCAGGATAAAACACAGCTGAGGCTCAGGGCCTCTGCACCACATCACCTCTGAGGGGACCCCAGCGAGAGAGTGGAGGAGAAGCCTCTGGCCCAGGCACCTGCAGCCAGCCCAGCAAGCTCTCTGCTTGTGTGCAGATGTAGAGGGCACCTGACATGTGTGCAGCCACTGTCACTCCTCTCCTGTCGGTGTCGTGCACAAAGGCCCCCATCCTGCAGTGAGGTCCATGCTAGCAGATCAGACTGCAGGACCAGGGGGGCCAGATCTGTTTCTTCATTGCCCTGTGCCTTGCATGGTTACTTACACCAGGACAAAACTGCTGTCCACTTCCCCGTGGTACAGGTGACTGCAAGGGCAGGGTGACTGGGGATGGCTGGGCAGCCAAGAAGTAGCCATCTGGCAGTAGCTACATTTGCTGCAGAACTGTTTAGACCTGGGTACCACTGTTACACCCTCCTGCCTGGTCCTGAGAGACTGCAAATACCCTGGCACCTCCTAGCTGGCTCATTTTATGGAGCAACCCACCCTGGTGCCTCCTCCAAACTCTTCCATACTGCAGCCTTTGCTCCTTCCTCCAGTTCTGCTCAGGTTGCTACCTCACAGCCCGAGCCTGTGTCCTGAGCTGCAGAATCTAACCAGCATCTTCCTTTCTTCCTTCCACTTTTTTTATTTTGTTTTCACCTTCTCCTTTCTTCATGTTATCTCTATGCTGCCTGGGGCTGACTGACTGGATCATATTTCCCATTGTTGAAATATCATGGTCACAATTGCAATTCAAATCATAAACACAAATTCTAATTTTTTGAACTCTTTTTTTTCCTAACCATTTGGAATTTTGACTCGGATTGGATTTTCTTTTCCTTTTTTTTGGTCCTGGGGCAATGAAAACCCTCCCTCCCCCTCCTCCTTGTCTGCTGTCTTTCTGCCTGCATTAGGTTGCCTGGAAGTGCTTCTGATCCGAATGATACGGGCATTCAACCCCTTGAACAACACGGTGCTCTTTGAAGGGAAGCATGGTGGAGTGCAGATGTTCAAATCACTTGGTAAGAGCGGAGTCGATTGCTCCTGGCTTTGCTGGGGTGGAGGGGGCTACGTAGGGGTAGCAGGTTTGCAACCCTTGTTTTTTGATCGTAAAACCCTTGGTAACAAGAAACCTTAGTCCCATTCATTGCAGGGCCATAGAGAGATTATTCAGAAGCACCTAAGTGATGCAGGAGCACACTGACATTCACTGAATGTTGCGTTTCTGTCGCTTCTGTTCCTTAATGTCTTGCATCTTCTGTGGCAGTATCTCAAGGCATTTATGTTCAGGGGAGAACTCTATAGGACTCCTGGCTTACACCTCATTCAAAAGGTGGCACAGCAGCCTCATAATGTTCACAGCTGTATCAGAGGGAGCAGTGTCACTTCTTGTGGCACCAGCATTTCTGCTTCTTTGCTGACTCTTCTCTGACTCTTAGCCCTGCTTGGCTAGAGAGACCGACAGGGCCACAGCAAGAAGCAATAAGGCTGCAGACTGCAACCTCCACTGTGGAATAGCACAGAAAGTCTGCGGCTGCTCAGCCTTGGGCAGCGATCCCATGAGCCAGGTGGAATTGATGAGGTTGGGAGACAAGATGCTACAGATAGCACTCAGCAGGGGCGCTCTTACCTGTGGGCCAGTATTGTCCACTACTGCCTATGGTACTGTGTGCTCCTTGCACGGAGTGGGGAGGCCTAGATGGGTTTGGAAAAGCCAACTTTGCTTGTCTTTTTGATTTCCTGGAGTAGCCGCATTAGGGGAGGTGCATACTACCAGATCTGGCTGACCTTCTAGTGACTTCCTTGAGCCAACCTAAGTTAGATTAGGCCAGCACTTGGATGGGAGTTTCCAAGAGGCCCTGAGTGCTGTCAAAAGTCTTGCACGGGACAGGGTGCTTCTTGTTCTAATGCTACTAACAAGAAGATGGGATAGCACCGGAGCTGAGATTCTCAGCCATATGAAGCATATGCTCCCCCAGTATCTTCTGCTTCCCACCTGTTACCCAGAGACTCTCTGGTCGGAGACCTTCAAGTCCCTCTCATTTCCCTGCCTAGTCTTGGGCAGCCTTCCACATAACTCCTTTCTACCTCTGGCTCCAAAGGAAGGGCTCACATACTTGGCTGCCATCATGGCATGAGATGTACAGGGTGGGGGAAATGAATTGTTTGCAGTGAAAGGGTGCTGCAGTGCAGTGATATGACATTGTCCTTCCCCTTGCCCCCTCATTAGGCTGTGATGACCTCATCAATGCCATCTTTGAGCTTGGAAGGAACCTGTGCCGGCTACAGCTGTCAGAGGAAGAGATTGCCCTATTTACTGCTGCTGTCCTGCTCTCACCAGGTAAGGGAGAGAGGGAGGGCCATTAGGGGCTTCCATTTTGGAGCCCCCAGCTCCAGCCAGAAGAGTGCATTTTAGCTGCAATGCTGGGGAGGGTTAACCCTAAACTGGATCAGAGGATGAAACACCCTAGTGAAATCAGAGACTGCTGATCCTTGCCAGGTGGCACAAACTTATCAGGTGGACATGACCTGGCTCCTGCTGGAGCTCATAGCAGAACCCCCCAAAGGGAGCAGGATTGCAGCCTATGAACTTCCAGTGCCTTTCAAATTAGCAGACCCCCAAGGGACAAGACCCTTGCTCAGGGAGTTGCTTGTGCACAGCCTCTGTATTGCAAGGATTCTGATCCCCTCCTGGTGCTGATGGAACTGTTGCCTGTTCTCAGATCGCCCATGGCTTACGGAGTCCAAGAAGGTGCAGAAGCTCCAGGACAGGATCTACTTAGCTCTGCAGCATGAGATCCGGAAGAAGCACTCCAGCGAGGACAAGCTTTCCAAGGTAACGGGGCTGAGTGCGGACAACCTGAGGTGGCAGGGCCAGTGGAACAGGGCCTCAAATACAGCCAGGAAGATGAGGACTAGAACCAAGGGAAAACTGTCTTGATGCCAGGAACCATTGTACTGCATGGGAAAGTAAGAGGAGCCTTTAACGGGGAGATGTTTAAAACTACCCTGGACAAAGGACTAGACCACAGGAGCCATCCTGCCCTAGTTGGGTTCAGTGGGTTTGCTGGGCTTCCAGTAACAGGCCTAGATCTGTTAATGTTAGGCTGGCAAGGAGCCATTTCGAATCCTCTAATTTGACACAGGACAAAATAATACTCAGCTCTTACACTGTTTATCACTAGCACATCCCAAATTACTCTAAAAAGCAGCTCAGGATCATTTATCTCCATTTCACAGGTGGGGAAGCTGAGGCACAAAGGAAGGAAGTGACCCAGCAGGCCAGTGGCATAGCCAGGACTAGAACTCAGGGATTCTTGAGACTCAGGCCAATGACCTATGCATGGTCTAGCCAAGACTGAACCCCTCACAGGAAGCAGAGTTTGGAGGTAGTGACAAGTGATCTCAGCATGACATGCAGCCCAGGATAAAAGGAAAACAGAAAAGTGCAGTACCCTTCCTACATCCTCTTGTGAGTTTCATGGCTTAATTATAATGGAGCCCACTCCTAAATGCAGTAAAGGAACATCCTTTATCCTGAGTGTTAGGGCCATGCGTGTTTGGAAGCCAGGTGCTATGGTTCTAGGCTGGCTCCCCAGGTACACAGAAAGCTGTTTGCACACAAATGCTCATCTGTTATACTCCAGTCCCACAATCAATGGGACCTTCAGGCAGGGGCAACAGCTAGCAGAAGGGAAAGCCTCTGCTAGGGGGAGTCAAGGCTGTTGAAAACTGCTACAGCTGCTTTTTATTTCCTAAACTCTCCATGAAAATAGCAAACTGGTGCACTTCACTGGTGCAAAACAAGGCTCAAAGTGCTGCATCCGGCCTCTAAATTACCCAGGTGCAGTACATGAGCTTGGAGATCTAACATTGGTATAAGCCCATCACAAGAGTTACATCACTTACATCAGCGCTAGCTGGGGCATGGACTACATTGCTGGAGATTAGGAGTGCCTGGTTCAAAGTGATACCAACAACAAGCCCAAATCTCACTCCCTTCCCTTCTTTTCTTCCTGTAGATGGTTTCCAAGCTGCCCTTGATGAAAACCATTTGTAACCTGCACTTGGACAAGTTGGAATTTTTCCGGCTCCTGCATCCGGAGACTGCTCTGAATTTCCCCCCTCTGTACAAGGAGGTCTTCAACTCGGAGCTCCAATACAGTGACCCACGAGAGAGCTAAGGCCAAACTACCTGCTAGTTCCCAAAGCCTGGAGGCAAACAGAAACTTCCAGGGTTGAGGAGATTTATTTAAATCAAAGAATCAAGCCCAAAAGACCCTTTGGGGCTGGGTTATCTCCCCTCAGCCCCACCTCCTTGCTGTGGATTGCAATAGCTCTTGAATGTAATGCACCTTGAAGGAAAAGCAAACTGACTTTGCCATGCCGGTGAAATGAATGTGAAATCTCCGCTCAGTAGAGGAGACTGTCCTGTAAGTAGTATGGTACCAACACCTCCCCCAGTGCACGGATTTCAGTGGAGCATGCCCACGCACACACATCCACAAGACACAGCGAAGGGACCTACCCACCGGCACTCGTCTGAGGATCAGAATTTGTTCCCACCTTGTTTTATGTTTGTTTTTAAATTAAACAAAACCCGGAGTGATGGAATGAAAAAAGGGGCAATACAGACTTGTTCAGAGAGGAGGCAAGCAAAAGAGTTAGGATCCTTCCAGCTTTCGGACCTTAACTGGACCAGAGCAGAGGTAAAAAGTCAGTGTTTTACTCCTACATTACACTGGGGTTAATTACAGCACAAGGTACAGGGCAACAAAGAACCAGGCCCATAGTGACCAGGCTACCCTGCAAAAAATGGGGAGGCAGAAATTGAATATGGCATCTTCGTAAGGAAAAGAAAGCTGCTAGTGTAAGAGTCCCAAGGCTTCCAGTGAGGCAGGTCGAATGAGCTCCAGTCAGGGTTAGACTGCATCTCCAGCTTTTTGCAGCTAGGCAGTCAGCTAAGTCTGTCACCCCTCTGAAGTCCATGCGATCGACTAAACAAGTGTTTCAGGAATACTACCTGCCTTGTGTGGACATTAAGTCTGGTGCACTTTCCCTAAAAGAACAAATTTGCTCTCATACCCATGGCCAAATCTCAGCCTCCAGCAAAAGTGTAGTGCTGCTGTGCACTGCCCTGCACCCCAGAGGCAGCTGCTTTTTAGAGGTGCTGTGTGCATAGTATCACTGCTTGGGGGTAAAAGCCACTGAAACCAGCAGTATGGTTGCAATCAGTAGTTAGTTTGGACCATGGATGTCATTTTTTCATAGAAGCCTCTGCTAAAGCTGTCCCATGAAACCCAGTGTCTCAGACGAACCTTCTTTTCCCAGAGAATTACTTGCTAAGTGAAGAACTCCCTCCCCCCATATACAAAGGGTGGTGAGCCTGTTACAGCCTCAGCCTTCAGGGTCAGGCCACTCTCATGTTCATACAGGTAGAGGTCCCAAATTCGGTCCCCATGGTTGATGACTCATTCAGGGATGCAGCATTACTGAGTGGGCAACGGGGGCTATAAGGGGGTGCTCTGCTGCAGTGCATCAAAGGCATCCCTGTGGGCCTGATCCTGACTGGTGCTCCACTTCCACTGACAGCCAGCACCTTGAAGCACAATATAAGAGAGGTGAATTCCCCATGCTCAGTGCAAAGCAAGCTGCAAAGAATGCTGCCTGTCAACTCTCCAGCAGTGTCAGGAGAAACCAGAGACCATCCTCTCTTTTGCCTCTTCAGTTCCTGGAGGGTGAAGAGCAACCTTTTTTGGTTGCTTTTTGCTCCTTTTTTTTTTGTTTTTTTATGGTTCACTCTTAGTTTAGCAGAACTCAAGGGAACCTTTATCAACAGCAAAATTACTGTGTGTTGACAGAGACAAAGGTAATTATTCCTCCTCCCCCCGCCATCTCCAGTCTCCCCAAAGGCTGTTTTGTAGGGGATCTACTACTAATGATGTCTCAGAGAAAAAAGACCAGGATCTATTTCCTTTGAGAACACCAGGGTGCAGGGACACCATCTCTTCTGCTCTGTGTGACCACCCATCGCTTAGTTATGCTGCTGGCAATCTATTTTCTACACCCTGCCTCCCATTGCCAAACCTTTTAGGGAGGGGGAAAGTGTTAGAAAGACAACAGTAACTTCTACCAACTAAGGGCCAATTTCCAGAGTCTCCTCCCCCCCCCAATTTATTCATTCCTTATAAAGACAAGGCCCTTTTCTAGTAGCCTAGGCCATCAACAGGGTTTGAACAAAAGTCCTGCAAATCCATAGTGCAGACCTCTTCTACTTCAGCTAAATGAACATCTCCAGGGCAGGTTTTTGTCTTCTTTGTCAATGTTTCCTTACTTTTGCTGGCCCATGGACAGCCAATCTCGAGGGAACATCAGGCTTTGCTCTCCATGTTGACCTTAGCACTAGAATATTAGTCCTGGGGCTGGAAGCAGTGGCAGAGGGCCGAGTGGTCAGCATGCTGCCTGAGCTGCAGGTTGGATACCGCTGCTGTAAGCAAAGCAGCCTGCAGAAGGTGAACACAACTCTCACTTATTCGGTCAGAGCTCTCTGAGGTGGGAATCCTATGACTCTACCTGAGTAAAGGCAGAATATAACCTGAACAAGAAGCTGGGGCTTGGATCTTTCCTGAAAGCTACGGTACACAAGATGCTGCCGCAGGCTATTTCTTTTTGTTCCCTGCCTTCCTGACCTTCGCAGGGGAGATCAGAGTTCTCTGGCCTAACTTATATTCATGACACTTAAACACCCATTGCCTGAATTTGCTCAAATTGCAGAAGGCTGCTGGCTGACAGCAATGTTGAGTGCCATATACCAGGGGTAGGCAACCTTTTCTGGCTGTGGGCCAGAATGACCCACCGCGAAGTGGAGGCAGGCAGGGGTGGGCACTGGGGTCTGGTTGCTGCTGCTGCTTTTCCCTGCGACAGCACAGGGACAGCAGCCACAGTCCAAGCCCCATGGCCAGGCCAGATCCAATGGTCCTGAAGGCCGTAGGTTGCCAACCCCTGCCATATACTGTTTCCCGAGGCAGTATTAGCAGGGGTGGGGCCTGGAGTCACTTATTTCCTACTCTCTTTGATCCCAGAGCTTTTGAGAAAAGTCAGTATTGCCTTTTTCATACACAGGGTTGTGCCTTTTGTAAAACCAATTCCAACAGCCGTACCATCTCCAGCAGTTTAGTGGCTGCCTTCCCAGATGGGAGACAGGCCTTAGGGAGAAAGCACGTGGGAAAACAAACATG